TGTCCTGCTGTCCTCATACATGCCCTGCTGTCTTCATACATGTCCTGTACCAGTCTAACATAGTTCTCTGTCCCAGTTTTCCCACCACTATCAGAATAGTTCAAAAATACACAGCGAGTTCAGTAAGTGAGTCGTTTAAACTGTTTATTAGGAGGAACTACTTTGGGGGAGTGGTGGTGCAGAGGTTAGAGAAGGTGGGCCTGTGATCAGAAGATCGCCGGTTCCACTCCCGGCACCGACAACATCAAAATGTGGGTGGGATAGGTGAAGCACCCACACCTGCCTCCTCCCTCATTTGCCCCACCCTGGGCCATTGAACAAGGCTCTTAACCCCCACCCTCTGCTCCACCCAGAGGCTGTGGTAGCTCGGTGTCTGTGGTTGAGTCAGGAAGAACATCTGGTGTAAAAATAATCACAGCGTCTTCGTGCGAGTTCTCTGTGCCCTGAAGACGGAGCAGCCCTAAGAAAAATACAATTATAAGGAACTACTTTGTGAACCAAATTATTTTTAGGTATAGTCTGTCCTCTACTGAGTGTTTCTGTTTTAGTTTATAAATGTGTGAATTATGATTTATTTATTCAACACATTCTAACAGACGATGACGAGCACGAGGGATTCGCGTGTGGTGAAAATAAAGTTGTCTTTGTCTCCCTCGTGTGTCCAGTCTCAGTATTACAATAAAGTTTTATTAATTTTCTTTAACCTCTTCATGGGCTGCATTTTTATAAACAGATAAATAAATACTTTCAGCATTTTTATCAACAAAAAAGTCTGGATTGTCATTTAAGATGTATATTTTATTGAGACAAGTCAATAAACATGAAGATTTATGGAAACGACAGAATATTCAGAATATTCAGGTTTGATGGTGAAACGTGATAAAGACCCTAAAGCTGTTAACTTGACTTTATTGTAAATGTTTTTCAAATGACCCAACATATAAATAAAACTGAAGATTGCAGTGATTATGAAATTACTAAAACACAGAAGAAAAAATAATAAACGAGAATACATTTTTATGACAACATGTAAAATAAAATGAGTGAAATCAGAAAATGGTTTGATGCTGAATGACGGCTGACATTTGGCTAAAGAAGCTAAATGTTTAAGGCTTAAAGAAGTGCTAACCAAGGTTTAGTTAAAAGTAGCAAAATGCTAACTTAAAGTAGCAGAACTGTAGCTAAAAGCTAAAAGGAACATTAGAAAACAAAATAAAAGACGGTTGGAGAAGCAGGTTGTCAAACGAACAATGTTTTTGAATTAACTGACATCTAAACATATTCATGCAAGGAAAATATTTATAAGTTAAATATTTTATAAAGTTTGAAAGTTAAATTAAAAAACATCACATTTATCTCCTGAACGAGCTGAAAGTCTCGCTACGTGAATGAGTGAAATGACCCAAAGTCCTGCTGAAAGGTGACGAACTTTAATTTAGTCCAGTTGTGATGGGACAGGCTGAACAGACGTCCTGGAGGACATCGTGGTGTCTCACAGAGAAACAGATGGGGACAAGTCTCCTCAGGCAGTCTTTGTCTCATTGTCCAGTTTGGCCACAGGAAGAGGAAGGTTTTAAAAAGTGAAGCCCAGAAGCTTTTTGACAGACGCAGGTCAGAAACCTGCAGCAGTTCTGACCCAGTTAACGTGGCTTCCTCATCTCCACGTACACGGAGTTCTCACTCAGCTTCAAGTATTTCTGTAAGATCAAACGATAATAATAAAATATTAAAATAAATAATGAATTGGACATCTTTCACAATGTGTTCATCATTATCATTAGCCCCCTGCCTTTGTGCCCATGTGTTTGTGTGTCTGTTAGCAAAATATCTCAATACTACAACTCAGAAAGTAATCATTACATGCACATGTAGTATTGATTAACTTTGAAAAATAGCCTAATTCAAAATGGCTGCATCAGATGACTGACCTTTAAAAAAAACACAAAAACAGCCCAAATTTGATCAATTTAAAAAATATGGAGCTAAAACTTGGTCCAGGGGCTACTCATGGTTTGAGATCGTCGACTTTCTCCCCATAAAGACCACACCTGAACCATAGGAACTAGACCTTAACTGAATAAACCATGTCTGCATTTGAATTCAAAATCTTACTTCTAACCTACAAAGCTCTCAACAACCAAGCTCCATCTTATATTACAGATCTTATTGTTCCATATTTTACTAACAGAGCACTTCGCTCTCAGACTGCAGGTTTACTTGTGGTTCCTAGAGTTTACAAAAGCAGAATGGGAGGAAGATCTTCCAGTTCTCAGGCTCCTCTCTTGTGGAACCAACTTCCAGTTTCTGTCCATGAGGCTGACACATTGTCCAGTTTGAAGACTGGGATTAAGACTTTCCTTTTTGATAAATCCTATAGTTAGGGTCGGCTTGTTATGCTGCTATAGACTTAGACTACTAGAGGACAAACTGACCTCATTTCCTTAAATTAATTGTTAAAACTGAACAGTTTTCATTTGATACTATTTCTATCTTAACATGTGATTCTTGACCTGCCATTGTGTATCTGTTCCTACCAAACCCAGCCGGTCGAAGCAGATGGTCCTCTTGTCCTGATCCTGGTTCTGCTAAAGGTTTCTTCCTCATGAGGGAGTTTTTCTTTCCACTGTCGCCTTCATGCTTGTTCAACATGAGAGTTCAGTGATGGAGTTAAACTCAAAGCTGCTCCTCAGATAAATAATGTTCAATTATTATTTTATACATGAATGTTTCTGTTAAATTATTATTTTATAGATGAATGTTTCTGTTAAATTATTATTTTATAGATGAATGTTTCTGTTCAGTCCCTGAGACGATTCTGTTGTGACTTGGAGCTGAAGAAATAAACTGAACTGAACTGGACCATAGAAACCACATTTGTGCCATAGAAACCTGAACAAAATAACACCTGAACACCACTACACCCCCCCCCCCCCCCCCCCACACAACCCACCACACAACCACACACACACATAGTGCCCATCAGATTATCTACATTTAATGATTTTATATTTTAGTTCTGGTAAGTAACTGTTTATTTCAAACAGATTTATTTATTTTTATATTTCTATTGAAGGTGGAGGCAGAACTTCTGTTGCTTTTTACAGGACATGGAATAAACTGAATTATAATTATAATTATTATAATTACTATTATAATTATTACAATATTACTTTGTATTATAATTATTATAATACACTGAACTGTTTCTTAGATTACAAAAAGCATTTTGTTGTGAATTGTCACTACAGAGATAGTAACTAACTAACTAACAAACTAACTAACTTACTACCTACCTACCTACCTACCTAACTAACTAACTAACTAACTAACTACCCCACTAACTACCTTACTAACTACCTAACTAACTAACTTACTAACTTACTAACTCACTTACTAACTGACTAACTAACTAACTTACTTACTAATTAACTACC